AAAAAAATACTTATTTAAGATCATCAACTGATTTTAATAAAAATACCAACTACCCCCAAGCCCTCAGTGCTACATTATGAGCTTTATTCCAGGCAAGTGTGACACGATGACGGGACTCCGTTTCTATGACACGCCCAGTCGAGGGCTATGGTTGCACTCTATAAGGGGAAGACTGCTGGGCAGTTCTCACCCTTTTCACTCCAGGATGAAGCAGTTACATTCCAGGCAGATGAAAATGAACAGTCTCAGGATTTCTTAACCCACTCAATTTCCTTTTATAGGGAAGAAGCTCTACTACTGGCACCAGCACCTTGCATTGAGAACAACAGGGATCTGTTCACCCTTGAGCAAACCTTCCGTAGGGCAGATAATACATGCGAGGAGGGACAGGACAAATAAACCAAACAATCCAGAGTTGCCAGGTGCCTGTGCCTGCTCAAGACTGAGGGTGGGTGCACTGGGAGAAGCATACCGATCTCTCAACTCTCAGTTCTGATGAGATAGAACTGAGATTCTGCCCAGGAACAGAGGTGGGATACAAGATGAAGAATTCTGCATCTCTGCTGATGAGTAAAGTTTTTGTTTGGCGCATAAAACTCAAAACTCATGCCAGGGATTCTTGTCAAAAACAAGGAAGTTTTGGCGTTGTAACATGGCTGGTTAAGCAACTACTCAGGATGGCAGCATCCTGCATTGGATCAGAAGCCCCACTACTAAGCTCTCTATTAACAAGCTGGAAAGTAGCACACAATGGCTTAGTACTTGATCTCCTGCCACCTGCACTAGGAGATGCAGTTGAAATTCAAGGTTGCGGGCCCGGCGCGGTGGCGCAAGTGGTTAGGTCCTCGCCTTGCACACCCGGGATCCCATATGGGCGCCGGTTCTAATCCCGGCAGCCCCACTTCCCTTCCAGCTCCCTGCCTGTGGCCTGGGAAAGCAGCTGAGGACGGCCCGGGGCTTTGGGACCCTGCACCCGCGTGGGAGACCCGGAAGAGGCTCCTGGCTTCGGATCGGCATAGTATCGGCCCGTTGCGGCTCACTTGGGGAGTGAATCATCGGACGGAAGATCTTCCTCTCTGTATCTCCTCTCTGCATATCCGCCTTTCCAATAAAAAATAATAAAAATAAATCTTTAAAAAAAAAAAAAAAGAAATTCAAGGTTGCTGGCTTCATCCTGGACCACCTACTGGCTTTGATGGTCACTGGGGGATGAATCAGCAGATAAAAGATTTCTCTGTCACGCTTCCTTTAAAAAATATTAAAGCAACATCAACAAAAATGAAGGATAAAGACCTGGTTTCTTATTGATAGAGTGAAAAGCAAAAGGACCAGCAGAGTGATTGTGTTAGATAATCAGGAAAAGAGATAAACAAAAGAACCTGCCTAGGATCACACACACCTTTAGAAGTCCAGAAAGCTGTATCTACTCAGGAGCAAGACCATGGGCAAACCTGAGAGTGACATCTGTTTCTTCAAGCAATATTGAAAACATAAAAACACAAAGTGGGAAATGTTGAGCCACACTTCCCCATCACAGTATTTTGAGAACACGTGGGTCTCCCGAAAGGTCACCAGCGCTGTGGACAGCCAGAGACCTGCACACCGGCTCACCACACGCTGTTCAATACTCCACTTGATTCTGGGAGACCCACTGCCTTTGGGCCTTGAAGAAGCCGGGAGGAAACCATAGCAGCCCAATCCCTTACTCAGCACAGTCCGCTACCTTCTTCCAGCACCTGGTGACACCGAGAGGCTGCGGGCCCGGCAAGTGGCCTCGGGTGTTTTCGGTTCTGCAAGGTGAGATGTGTATTCTGTACAACTGCATGCCAGTCCTGTTACAGGAAAGGACCACGTTATGGAGAAAAAAAAAGCGAATTTTTATTTTCTACTAAAATGATTTCCCTCCTTTTCCTGGGTTGCGCAGTTTTCAAAAACTGACCCGAGCCAAATTCTGCTAATTAAATGTGAGACTTCGGGAATGGCGGGTCCTTCACAGTCCTCATCCTCTCATCCTTTTTGGGGAGGCAGGTCGGGCCACTCAGGGAACCTTCTGTTTATCTCGCTGTGGGACCAGCCTCCCCTTTGGAGGTGGTCGCCCTGCCTCCAGGATTCCCATTTCACAGATGAGCCCGGGAGAGGTGAGCCAGAAAACGGCAGAAGAGCCGGGAGTCAGGTCCACTGAGCTCCCCAAACCTTCGCCTTCTGTCACGCGAGTAATAACCAGAGGAACGGACCCCAAACCCCAAAAGTCCCTCACGGTTCGTTTAGCTTCTGAGGGAGGACAAGGCGTGGAGGGTCGGCACCCGGAGTGCCTGCTCGTCTCCGGAGGGCGTCCTGGGGACCTGCAGGACCCCGGCGAGCGGGGCGGCCAGCGCAAGGCGCCTCAGGCAGGAGGAGGAAGAGCCGGGGGCACAGCCTGGGCACTCACCGCTCAGGCGTCGCAACCGCCACGACCGCCGCCGCCGCCGCCGCCGCTGAGGGGCGCCAGTCTGGAGCGCGCGCCGCCGCCTCTCAACGCTCCTCACAACCGCCCCACCGCGCAGGCGCCCCGCGGGCCTCGGCCTCGCGCGCGCAACTGCAGGGAGCCGCGTCGGGGCTGCGTGAGTGGGAAGGAGCCAGAGGTACGGCCTTAATCTCCGCTCTACCTGCTGCTGCTTACCAGCCTCGGTGCTGTTTCCGAGTTTCAAGCTGTTTACTTTTTTATGGCACATTTGCGTAAGCTCGATAAAATCGATTATCTTTGCAGCAGGATTTTTTTCTTTTCTCTTTTTTTTTTCCCCCAGCAATGGTGTTTATACTGCCTAGGTTCTGCATGCATGAGATTTTGTATTTTTGGACAGGCTCAGATGCCTTTTAAGGCGCTGGGAATTCTCTATGAAACCGTCATAGCCCTTGGAAAAATCGGTTTGATAAGTTCTCCGTATATGCTTTAGGGGACGTTCTGACCTTTTGGTTTAGTAGAGTGTCACTGTCTAAGAAACCCCAAGAAGACAAAGCATTTTGCAGCTACTTGAGGTGAAACTTGAAGGGGAGTTCCTGGGTTGGCTTCCTAACCCGAAGAGGCTGCTCCCTCCCTGCCCAAACAGTGCAGACAAAAAACTTGCTCTCCCACACTCTTGCAATCAAACAAAAGAAAAACACCCCCCCCCCCCTTTCACGTATAAAAACCCCTGCTTGGCACTAGCTTGCAGGCCCCTGTGCTCTCTTTGAGGCTGCTGGACAACTCCTTTGCTTTCCATAAATAAAATGTGGCTCCTGATCCGTTGAGGTCTCTCTTTTTCTGATTAATTTTCCCAACAGGCCTGACTACCCTGAAGGACGTGCAGTCAATGTATCTGCCAGATCTGCTGTTTGTGAACTTACCAAATGCCTTATTCACCAATGTGGTCTTCCACATAGCGTTGCTTCTGCATAAGGAACTCAATTCAAAGCAAAAGATGTGCTTGTGGGCTTCACTGGGCTTAGAATGTTCACCACCACCACCCAAAAGCAACTAGTTTTACACAATGGTCAACTAGAGAGCAATACTTTGAAGGACTGCAGATGTTTCTCTAGAAACTTCCACATGCTTCCGAATCAGTCTCCTATGGTGCTGTTTCTGCCACAGTGGGGATTCATTTGGTCCAGAAGTGGCTGGGTGGAAGTGGCAGTGAAGTGACTCACAAGCAAAATTTTTTTTTTCTTTCTATTCTTGCAATTTTATGTTCTTCTAACCTGTAGCACTAAGCGACATAGTAGTGATTGCATTGAACTGGACCTGGCCACCAGGCCACTTTGGACTCATTATGCCCCTCAATCAACAGGCAAAGAAGGGAGTTACGGTTCTCATTGGAGTGACTGATCCCGACGGCCACGGGGAACCGGACTACTACTCCAAAGTGAAACTAGAGAATATCTGGATTATAGAAGATACCTTAGGACATCCTTTTGTATTATAATGCCTTATAATTAAAGTCAATGGAAAAATACAACAATCCTATCAGGAAGGACTACTTTTTACTTACCAGGTAAAGATCCGTAATTAAGTGAGGTGTTAGCTGAGACAAAGGGAATACAGAATAGCTGATGAAAGACAATAGATATAAATACCACATACAAGCAATTCATAAGGCTTTTTTAATATATAATTTTTAGTTGGCCACATCCAATTAACAATCTAAAAATGGGACTGGTGCAATGGTTTAACTGGCTGATTCTTTATTTCTAAAGACTGCAATACCATATGGTCACTGGTGCGTGTCCTGGGAAAGCAGGAAAAGATGGCCTAAAGCCTTGGGACACTGCATTCACCTGGAAGACCCAGAGGAAACTCCTGGCTCCTGGCTTCGGATTGGTTCAGCTCTTGCAGTTGCAGCCACTTAGGGAGTGAACTAGAGAATGGAAGATCTGTCTCTCCTTCTCTCTGTAAATCTGCCTTTCTGGAGCTGAGCCGATCCAAAGTCAGAGGCAGGATTTAGTCACTGAGTCATCACGTAGAGCCCTGAAAATAAATATTTAAAAAGAAATCTGAAAATGTTGAATAAGCCATCCCCAAAATACAGCAACTTTATCATCTAATTCTACAAGAAACACCTTAATTGTTTCCTCATCTGCCCACAAATCCTGGATATGTGCTTAAATTTCTCATGTTGTTTATGGGTATACTCTATGATTAGACATGCATCAGAAAATCTCCACTTCCCTCTATAATTCATTTCTCCTTTATTAAAAACTAGAGTAGCAAGTGAAATGCTACTTTTAAACATATTTTTTTTCTGTGTACTTCTAAATGTTCTTGGTACAAACATCCTCTTACAATTAAATTATAAGATTTATTTTGGGACTAGTGTCACTACAATTCACTCATCTAAATCTGAAAAGAAAGGAACAAGCATTTTTGTTTGTGAAAATATTTATTAAACGAATATATTTATACCAAGCTATACAAACAACAAAATGTCTCTCTAGGTAGCCAGGTGTAGTTTAAGAAAGCTAAAAGTGTCACTGACTGCAATTGTATATCATGGCTTCTTTTGTGGAGCATAAACATCTATGTCTTCTGGATTAGCAAAGGTGAGAAAGACTTGTTCCAGCGTGATCTGACTGATAGAATAATCTTCTAAATCCAATTCCTTTTTGGCGTTCTCCAAAATGCCAAACATCTTTGGGAAGAACAAAAGGACAGTGAATTGGGATCTGATCACCTTCCCGGGCCCTTATCCAGGTTGAGTTTTTCCTTCACTTCTCCCAACTTCTGTCAAGTTGATGATGGGGGCAAGAAGTATAGAAAGGGGAAATGAGAAGGCAGAACTGGGTAAGTGGGAAACCAAGAGTAGTTTTCCGTCCTCATTCCCTTTTGGACCTGGAATCATAGTGCATTTTGCTTGAAAAGTAACACAAAGGTTTTACTCCTCCCACAATACCAGGATCTCACTTCAAATTCCTGAATCCCAATATAGTCTCATCATTAGTGCTATTTTAATCGATTATGTTATAAAGCATAGTTTCTACCATCACCTTTCCCCAGCTTCTGTCCTTGCTGGGAATGTAGTAGTTAAGGATCTTTTGATTATGGTGCTTCAAGATACTACCTAAGGAAGGAAAACAAGACAGGTGAATAATCTTACAGATTCCATTTATAATTGCTGAAATATTGCTGCAAGCACTTAATTACATAAAAAGGAGGAGTGAACAGATGGGGTTAGTACAAAGTGGATATGACTTCCCAAACCCCCTACCTTTTTGACATACATGACATAATTAATGCTTCTGGTTTATTCATGATGAGCTACATTGAATATGCAGAGTTTATAGCAATTATGTCAACAAACATATCAACTTACATATTCAATGCAAAAATTCCCAATTTTTATAAATTCTGTTGCTATAATACTTTATTTCTAAACATCAGGTTATAAAATATGAATTGGGAGAATTTTCTTTCTGGTTCTGTGTGTGTGCAAATACAGCATTTGAAAGAGGTGAGAGGGGCACAAATTTGTGTTATTATGCTAAACACTATGCACTTCTTCAATTATGTGAAAGAGTAAATCACACAATATGAATCACTAAAGTCTGTGTGTTCACATCTCTGTTACAAGAATCACTGATGGGATTAAAGATAAGAAGGTGGTTTTGTTTCTAATTTGAAGAAAAAAATGCATGGCTATAATCATGTATAGACTTTCTTAGTATTAACCATAATGCATTTACTGCGTTCTTGCTTATGCAAAGCTCTTTTTATTTGAAATAGGTGCATTTCAGAGCATAATTAAGTATTCCAAACAAGCACTGATGAAACCACCCATCTAGGGCAAGCATTAGTAATGCACTCACTCACGTGTGTGACTTCCCAGTCTCTGCATCCCCAAATCATCAACACCTACATCAACATGATAGCCATTTCACTTTTTGATTGATCTGTTCAAATTGGCATAACATTTAAATATATTTATTATGAACAACATATTGTTTAAAAGATCGCTATGAACTTATTGTAAAGCAGTACTGAAGATCCAAGTTCTAAAGATGGTGAGAACAACAAATACAATACATCTCTAACAAAGTTAGCACAACCTTATTTACCTGGAAATGTGGTTTTGATAAAATTTTTCACATTTTCCAACTCGTCTTCATTGTTGACCTTGATCTTCACGATGTAAATATTGCCGAACTTGTTCTTGAGATGCTGAGGGCTGCCCAGGCACATGAACCTCCCCTTGACCATGATGCCTAGCCTGGTACACAGAGCATCACATTCTTCCATACTTGCAAAATAGGAGAAGAAAATAATATAAGACTACAAAGTTCTGTTTGGGAGGACATGGTGTAGTTCAATCAGAGCTAGAACTTGGTGATTTTCCTTTCAATCAGGAGCTGTATGTTTAGTGATAAACAGCGTAAGTTTAGTGCTAATGTTTAGTGATCAACAGCATAAGTGGAACATTTCCATGAACTTCATTTTTGCTCCCCACTCTTGATTAAAAAAAAAAAAAAACTTCATGGAGGATTCTTGGCGGCTTTATTCATCATGGTTAACACGTGAATAACGACTCCTTGCATTCAGGCAAGTTCATTGTTGTAAATTCTTGGCCTCAGATATTTCCCTCTTATAATCACTATAGCTCCTGCCAAACCTCGGGTATGCCTCTCCATGAGCTATACCTGTGTGAGGTGATGACAATAGCTTTTCCATGATCCCGTGTCTTGGTCACTGCATTCCAGAGCAGGCGTCGGGCTACTGGGTCCATGCCGGCTGATGGCTCATCCAGGAAGACGACTGAGGATCTTCCCATTATGGCAATAGCAGTACTCAGCCTGCGTTTGTTTCCTCCACTTCACAGCCAAAGACAAACAGAAAGCGGGAGAAGAGGAGGCTGTACAGATCAGTTATTTAAAAAGAAATAGCACAAATAACTTAAATGCTCAGAGTCTCAGCAAACAGGCTGTATATCCACAATGCCAGCAGGAATAACAAGATAAGAGGACCAAGAACATTTTTGTATATACACCCGTGTACACGCGTGCTCCAAATGTGTGTGCATGTACACACACACAACTTATTTTAACTGAAAATATAGAAGAATAATTTTGTCACATTTTGGCAACATTATCAGAGCTTACATTTTTTATGTTGTTAAGGCTTCTCAGATACATAAACCTAAAGGGCACACATTCCTCTTTATTTGGAGAAAAAGAACTGTAGCAATGCAATATAGAAAGGTGCTCCCCTTTGAGATTCAGAGGCTAAAATTCAAATAGAAATAGAATTTTAAGTTTCATCTCAACAAAGGGAAAGATATTGAACCACATTTGTCTGTTTATTACTGGACTCTGAAAGAAAATTGTTATATTGTTTCATAATTAGTAAATTATGTGACAGAGGAGCTTAGGTAGAACTGTGTGCACTTATTTCAAACATCAAGAATGCCAGGAAACACCTTATCATTAACAACAATAACAACAACAACAACAAAAAGAGCAGCAAGCTCAATGACTCACCTAAAGGTACTAATAATCTTGTTAGCAAGAGGCTCCAGTTCCATTGAATTCAAATATTGGTTCACATACAGATGAATATGGGACTCAGAGACTCCCCAAACTCTGGCATACATTATCAGTATTTCTTCAGCAGTCATATATTCCAGCAAGGCATCAAATTGAGGACAATAGCCAATTCTTGACCTCACCTAATTCCAAGAATTGTCTTACGTAAAGACCGAAGTCATCCATCACACTGAACATCTACAGATGGCATGGAAGAACCTGCAGCCATGTCTCAACTGGATGAAAGACTTAAGCATATAAACTAAAGCTTTAAACTCGTAGAGGAAAAAAATAGGTAGAGACCTTCATGACATTGGATTTAATGAGAAGTTTGTATGATTTTAAATAACAGGCAACATAAAATTAAGTAAATTGGGCTTAATCAAGTTAAAGACCATTATGTATCAAAGGATATTGTAAAATGAAACCCATATAAAGGATAAAAATAATAAATCATGAGATATATGAAGGGATTAACATTTGAAATACATGAAGAAGTTCTTCAAATCAACTCAACAAAAAAAGCGTGCAAAAGACTTTGACATTTTTCCAAAGAAGATATAAATGACTAATAAACATAGGAAAATGCCTGCCATCATTAACCATTAGGGAAATGTCAATTAATACTACATTGAGATATCATCACAAGTGTTCTAGGATACATACTATTAAGAAGGAAAGTAAAAATTCTTGGTGATAATGTGAAGAAATTGGAACTCGTGTGCACTGCTGACTGGAATGGAAAATGGTGTAGCTGATACAGAATACAGTGTGGAAGTTTCTCAAAAAAAAAAAAATAGAATTACCATAGATTCTGCAATTACATACTCAAAATGATTGAAATTGGACTCAGATATTTGCATGTCATTCTGACAGCAGTATTAGATGCCATAGATAAAAGGCGAAAACATCCTAAATGTTCACTAACAGATGAATTAATATATTATTAATGTTCATACTGATATATATTGCTTAAATCTAAGCTAAATAAAATTCTAATAAAATTCTTGAAGGCATTAACATAGATGGAATATACTAGACACAAAGATAAATATTTTAAAGTTCTACTATATGAGGTACCTAATGCATAGTCAAATTCATAGAGATGAATTAGAATAGTTGTTAGCAAAGCGGGAAGATTTAGACTAGGGTGTTTCTCCTGCTTAACTGGTACAGGTTTTAGTTTGAGGTAATGAAAAGGTTTTGGAGATAGTGGGAATAGATGCGTAAAAATGTTAATGTACTTAATGCAAATGAATTGTATTAGGCATTGTAGAAATGCTTAAAATGGTAAATATTATGTCAAGTATTTTACAACAATAAAAATCAATCTTAACATATTAAAAGGCCCAAATAAATGGGAAATAGAACTACTTGTCACATGATGAAATATAAGAGATGTTTCAAAATGGCAAACTTGGAGAGACTCTCTTCAACTATTTCTCAACTCGGATTCCACTGATGGCATCTACAGTATCAACAACAAAGCTTACATGAATTCCCATCTATTAATCCTAGACATTAGCGTTACCTACATTCTTGAGTCATTATGCTTCTCAAATATCATACTGTAATAAATCTTACCTTTAGGATATTTTTGTTGATGCTAACACCATCAATCAACACATCCCCAGAGGTAGCACTCTCCTCTCCAGTCAAAATTTCGAAGGTGGTAGTTTTTCCAGCTCCGTTGAATCCAAGCAAGCCGAAGCACTCTCTCTTTTGGATTGCAACAGAGATATTTCTCACAGCGAAGACGGATGTAATATTAAAGTATATCTAAAAAAATTCATAAAAGAGAATGAAGAATGTTTACAGGTCAAAATACCACCAGTATCTCAGTATCCTAAGGATCACCACCTCAGCCTGCTTTCTTTGAAAGGATACAAATAGAGTTTGAAGGAAATCGGTATGCATAAGTATATACTTATTTAGAGGTGGGGAGGTAGACCAGTAGGCAGCAAAGTTACGTTCTTAAGTAGGAATGAAAATAGCATATGTTAGCCACTAAATGACATTACCTTCGTGAGTTCTTTAATAAGAACCATAGAATTCAGAAACCTTTCAGGATGCTCTAATATTGCAATTCTCTCATTTTGTACATCTTCATCTTCAGATTTTCCAGATAGTTCATTGGTCACTCTATTCTGTATTTTCAAGACAAGAAGCATGGAGATGGATACTCTTCAGGCAAATGCTCTAGAATGAGTGGCTTTGTAAGAGCTAAACTGAGGGATAATATCAGAGATATAAAAATAGAAGGTTTGAATAATTTCCAGGAGACTTCCTACACACCCACTTCACTGTCATGCACAGCTTGACTAACTTTTGAGAAATAGGCTTCTGTGAACCAGACAAGAGGGAAAAGATTTTCCTACAGTAGAGAAAGAATGAATTAACATGCTATCATGTGTGATTAAAATCTTTGAAAGATAAAATTTAAAGTTCTCAAAGAATTTACTTTATCACCTGGATCCTCATCTCAAGAAAGCAGGGAAACTTTAAAAAATACAATCTTGACAATGCCAAAATTAAAATGGAATGGGAGCTCAGATAATCAGCAGGTTTACTTTTCCTGTGAAACTCACTGGGCCATTTCACATATATTTTCAAGGTAAATGTTTCAGATATGAATATTGTTTGGTTGTCTTCACTAAACAGTGAAGCTTCAGAAGGTAACTGAGCCCCAGCACAGTGTACTGAATGCAGATGCCAGATACTATCAGTCCTGAGTCTCACATACTCTTCGTTAAAATTTCCTTGTCCTAATTTTCTGACTGTATGCCAACCTCTTACTAAAATTAGCTCACTGCACCCGTGTGGGAGACACAGAAGAAACCCCTGGCTCCTGGCTTCGGATTGGTTCAGCTCCGGCAACTGAAGCCACCTGGGGAGTGAACCAACAGATGGAAGATATTCCTCTCTGTCTCTCCTTTTCTCTGTAAAATCTGTCTTTCCAACAAACATAATTTTTTTTTTAAAAAAGAGAAACATGATCAAAATCTTTTTGATATTGTTAAATATAAAGGTAAGAGAGGAGCTAAAAAAATTCAGAGCATTGGCTTAGAATGGCCCAAATATGCTCAAAAACATTAGTTTACAATTCCAGGGAATTTACTGGATAGCAAGTATGGCAAACAGAAAAATATTCATACTAGCATGTTAGTAAAAATGCTGAAACCAAAAGAGCAAGGAGAAAATCTCGAAATCAGAAAACACTTATATTAATAGTAGCCTCCCCTCCCGTAGGGTTAACAGTTGATTCCACCAAAAATGATTTATTTATTTAAAAGTCTGAGTGACAGAGAGGTAGAAACAGGGATCTTCCATCAGAGCTGGGCCAAGTTAAGGCCAGGCTCCAGAAACTTCATCCTGGCTTTCCACATGGATGGCAGGGAACTCCGGTACTTGGACCATCTTCTGTTTCCCTCTGCTGCCTTCACATTGAAATAACACGCCAGAAACTCAAGCCAGCAAGATAAAGTTTAGCCTAAAGGTTAAGATTCTCACATGGTACAATACCACGCCTGGCTTCAATTTCTGGTTCTAGTGTCTTACTCCAATTTCCCAACCAGGTCGCCCTTGAGAGGCAATGGCTTCGGCTTGAAGGAGTTGGGTCCCTGGCACCCTCATGGGAAATTGGGATTGGATTCTCACCTCCTGGCTTTGGCTCTTGCCCAGTTCTGGCTCTTATGGGTATTCAACTGTTAGGGGTATCTGAGGAACAGATGGGAGCTCTGTCGTTCTTTTTGGATAAGTTCCCAAAGAAAATCAAGTCACCGTTTTATAAAGATACCCGCACTGGCATTTTCATTGCAACATTATTCACAACCTCTAGGATATAAATCAATCTAAGTATTCATCTACAGATAGATTAGGAAAAAGCGGTATGGGGCCAGCACTGTGATGTAGCTCCACTCCCTATCCAACTCCCTGCTCATGGCCTCAGAAAAGCAATACATCATCCAGATGTTTGGGTCTCTGCCACTCCCATAGGACCACTTGGATGAAGTTTCTGGTTACTGACTTCTTGGTTTTGCTCAGTGCTTGCTATTTAGGCCATCTGAGGAGTGAACCAGCAGATGAAAGATTGTTTCTCTCTCAAAAAGTAAATAAATATGATAAAGGAGGAAAATGTGGTAAATATGCCCCATGAAATGTTAAGAGGGGCAGTTTGTAATCCGTGACAACATGGATACTTACATAAATCAACACTAGGAAACATTATGTTACATTATGAACATTTTCTTAAGTAAGTCAAGCACAGAAAGAAAAATACCACAAGATCTTGCTTATATGTGGAATCTATACAAGCCAAACTCACAGAAGTAGAGGATGGAATGAATGATGGTTATTAGAGAGGCCTGCATAAAACAACACAGTGTACATTTTTCAAATTGCTAAAAGAGATTTTAAATGTTTTTACCACAAAAAAAAAAAAACCTTGCCTTTTACAAGTAAATGGATGCAACTGGAAACCATTATACTTATTGAAATAAGCCAGGTCCCAAAGGGCAAACTTGTATGCTCGTTGATCCATGACAACTAACATACACAGCACCAAAAGACATAATCTCTGTATATCAGATTAGCATAGTGGCAACTAACTGTTTTTCTAGCCTGCACCAATATCCTGAGTAATAGCAGGATCTCCATTTTAATTTTACCTTATTTTGTTTTTTCTCCTCTGCTTGCTATGTCATGACTTATCTATATATCTGAAAGTCAGACCTGTTACTGTGAAGTGAAATGAATAGCTGTTGACAGAGAGGCATCTCTATGGTTCTAATTTGTATCATGAAAAATGTGAAATTACTCATTTTATATAAACAAGCTTAACAAATAAAAGGTAAGAAAGACCTTAAAATATCATAAGAACATGAGGAAATATAATTGAGAATCAAGTTGATCTAATCATCCCAAATGTAAATGTATATCAAAATATGACATTGTATATTTATGAATATATATAATAATCATAAACCATGAACATATGCAATAAGCAGGATTAGGCTTTTCAGGTCTAATCTGCAATGCTCTTAGTGCTCTTCTTAATTGTACTCACCTTCTTGAATATCTTATAGATTCTAAAGAAAACTTGTTGATTGAGAAATGCTCTTACTCGCCAACAAGTAGTCTCGCAAAGTAAAAGCAGGAGAAGTAAAATAAAGCCTGTGATGGCCATAATAATAAAATACTTTCCAAGCATACCCTTTTCCAAAGAGTAAATGTTCTTTTCAGTATCTGAAAAGACAGGGAGAGAAAGAGGGCAAGGAGACAAGAGAACTTAATGTTACCGTACACTGATAATAGAGACTTTCGTATAACCATGAACCCCAGTGTCCCTTATTAACAACACACATTAATGTGTTCAACATCAGAATTAATAAGGTGGCAATACATTAAGTACCTAACTTTATCATATTTCCTAGTTTTAAAAAGATTGTGTTCCATAATCTAATCGAGGAGGCCACATTTAGTTGTGTCTCTTTAGATTCATTTTGGCTGGTTAATATCTCATATTTTTCTTTTTTAAAGTCACGACTTTTTTGAGAATTGCTATTTTGTAGAATAGAAATTAGAAGTTCTTTAACTGGATTGTTCATTTTATTTTTCATGATTCAACTGGGGTTATGGATTTTTGGAAGAAAGACCACAGAAGTGCTGTTTTTGTCACATCAAAGAAAAAAAGGATACATACTAACCACATAAATTATCATTGTTGAAGGGATCTTCATCACTTGGGTTTTTTTTCTCTGCTGTGAATTTCTTAATCCTCTTCCCCAGTTTATCATGCAAATTATAAATTTCAATTACAGGTAAATATAATATCAGTTAAATAAATCATTCCTCTGACATTTATATCAAAATAGACTGACAAATTTTTTGATGCTTGGGTTTATAATCTAACACTATATTTTCTGCTCAACTGTGGCAGTTTAGGCACCTGTACCCTTTTAATGAATCATGTGTTTTTCTTGTAGTTCATACATAAAATACAATTGAATTTTATGGTCATATTTAATTGAATAGCCACATTTAATAAAAATCTAGTAATTAATAGAGTCATTAGATTTCTGGGTAGACCATCTAACCTAGTTGTTTTTTTCACTTCTCACACATATATATAAATGCTAAGTATAATATCATAATGAATTAATCCCTCCCCCAAATTAAAAGTGTGAAAATAGTTGGCAAATACTTATGTGTATCTTCCCATTTCCATCATTCCGAGGTAACTATTATGATGAACTGTGTTCTGCATTCCTACTCAACTGACATATACAAGTGGATTATTTTATGTATATTTAAATAAATAACATCAAAATTTAAACTTTATAAAATAGTATCATTCCCTACATCACCTTTGGGAACATGTTTTCTCTTAAAGAAAAATCTAATTTTTCTTAAAAAAAAACTATCTTTTTCTGAAGATTTTTTTCTAAAGATTTATTTATTTTACTTGAGTGAGTTACAGAGGTGAGAGTTCCATCTGTTGGTTCATGTCCCAAATGGGAGTAAGAGCCAGAGCTGGGCGAGCACAAAGCCAGATCTTTTGGGGGTGTTTCTCATGCGGGAATTGGTGCCCAATACCTTGGGCCATCCTCCACTGCTTTCCCAGGCCACAAGCTGGATTGGAGCTGGAGCAACTGGGACATGTACCCATGCTCACATATATGTGATATTTGTCCTTCTGGGATTGGCTTGTTTCACTGAACATAATGGTGGTTAGTTGGGATCACTGTGTTGCAAATACAGAATTTCTTTCTTTTTAATGGCTGAGCAGTACACCATGAAGTAGATGTATTACAGTTTATTTTTCCATTCCTCTTTTGACAGGGATCTGGGTTGTTTCCATATTTTCAATACTTCAGATTGTACTGCTACAAATATAGGGTTGTAGGTCCCTTTCTCGTATGCAGATTTCATTTTCTAGGGATATATCCCCCAAATTGGGATGGCTGGCTCATTATGTAGATCAATTTTTAGTAGTCTTAGCACTCTCCATACCTTCATTTATGCAAGATAAAGATACTACACAGATCAACAAAGATAATACACAGAATCAACAAAATGTAAAGTTTTTTGAGAACACTAAAGAAATTGACAAAATCAAGAAAGAATAGATGATAAGCAATATTAGGAATATCATGAATGAAAACTGGGATGTAACTATAAATCTTACAGAGGTTAAAATATCAGATCATGAACAAATTTACTCCAGTAGATCTGACATTTATATGAAATAAAATAAAACGAGTACTAATTCCTTCCTCAAATTATTACTATATAGTAAAATAATTTTACATTTATAAGAAACAATCAACAATTAAAAATTTTCCTAAATGAATATTTCCCTCATGGGAAATCCAGGTGAACCCCCTGGCTTTGGTTTTGCCCAGTTCTGATCTTTGCAACCATGTGGGGAGTAAATCAATAGATGGAAGATCCTTCTTTTTCTCTTCCTCTCTTTCTGTAACTCTGACGTCAAATAAATATATAAATCTTTAAATATTTTATGTAAATCCCAATAAAAAGTTTGGCTTTGTGTGTTTCTGTGCGTAGCATGGATTCTCAAATGTACCCAAAATTATCAAGAATTAAGAAGCAGCCAAGTTCCAATTTCAAAATTTACTATAAAGCTACATCATTCAAGGTGGAGGTGGTAATGGAGGAAGGACAAATGTTTTCATTAATGTAATAACTGAGAGTCTAGTAATCAATTCAAATTTCTATGACCAACTAATTTCAGCAAGAGTGCCCAGTCAATTCAGTGACAGAAAGTCTAATGAATGGTGCTGAAGCAACTGGATAGCCACTGTGAAATAATCAAACTTGAATCCTGTATTATACCATATACAAACATCGAAAGATGCTTTAAAGACCTAATTACAACAGATAAATTATAAACAAACGAAAAAAAAAGAACTAAAAAAAGGGGAAGAGAGAGAGAGCAAGAGAAAGAAAACAAGGACTAGGCTTCAACAAAAGTGAAAACAATGACATTCAACATCACCAGAGGAGTAATATAAATCAAAACCACGAGAGGCAGAATCTACCTGGAGGATTATATTTAAAACAAAACACACACACACAAACACACACACACACACACACGAAAACAACAAGGGTTGGGAAGGATTTGGAGAAATTGGTACTCTCAAACATTGTTGCATAAAAATAGCCCCATGCCCACCACGATGGCTTGGCAGCTAAATCCTTGCCTTGTACTTGCAAGGATCCCATATGGTTGCCGATTTGTGCCTTGGCTGCTCTACTTCCCATCCAACTCCCTGTTTCTGGCCTGGGGAAATTAGGAGAGGATGGCTCAATGCACCCACGCGGGAGAACTGGAAGAAGCTCCAGGCTCCTGGCTTTGCATTGGCTCAGCTCCAACTGTTGTGGCCACTTGGGGAGTGAGCCGGCGGGCAGATCTTTCTATTTCTCCTTCTGTCCGTAAATCTGCCTTTCCAATAAATAAATAAATAAATAAATAACCTACAGCTCTCCTGGAGGCTCAATCATATCATAACTCCTCAAATCACTATATTTTAAATATTTCTTTCATTTTTTTCTCCACTTCAACATATCCCCTAAATTTTACTGTCTATACAGTTTACACTTTCTCACTGTTATCTCTCAAAGTCACCGACTATTACACAGTGAGGATCAGGCTTACTAATCATTCCTCCTCACTTTACACTATCACAACAAGGATTTTCAGATTAATGAAAGATGAAGTTTTATCACACAGATGCTAAAGCTAAAACTGCATGTTTACCCTTTCCTGTTCCATATGCCGTGTTCTTCCTGTTCTTCTCATTTCTCTTCATCGTGCTGCTCTTTGTCATCCACATCACTACTTCCTACCTGGAACATGTTTCCTAAAACTCCTTTCTTTGGAAGAAAGGCAGGCTCTTTGGATATTTCCTGGTCTGCCCTTGAAAGCGATTTCTGTGAGGCTCAGACATACTTACTTTCTTTACTACAATCAAGTACGGTAGATGGAGTCTTTTGAGAAAGGCACAGTATCTTCATTCTGTAGATTCTGGTATATTCACCTATGCACTTTGCAAGGTTGTAATTGGGAAATAAATGGAATGACTCGCGTAGCAACTTTTTGGTGTTGTTTGACAATCTTCCCACTTTAAAAATGATGACAAAACCAGGTTACTTTTCAAGAAATGAACACCCCTAGAACAATAAGCCCCACTAACAAACAAGTCCAACTCTAGAAATTAAAAACCAGATGATTATTTTTGAAGGATGTTGATTATTCCCCCCAACAAATTTGTTACAGTTTATAGCTGGTCACACAGCTTGTGTTGATAAATGTAAAATTCTCAAGCATTTTTGGTGAAGTCTAGGTCTGTCATTTTCTTGTGAAAATGATTTTTAACTATTAGTTATTTGAACTCGTGTGCTATATTTCAAATTTTTAGCTTTTCTTATGTAATACTTAGTAAATTGCCTTTTTTAAAGAAATGCAGCTACAATTTATTCAAAGTATACACAGTTGTTGGCCTATATTTATCATATCATCCTATGTTTTAATAGTATTTAAACCTTGTGTGTATATGTAAATACATGTATAACTGCATATACTTTATTTATATTTTTGTTCAGATATCTATCTCCTTTTTATTGCTAATATTTTATTTACTAGTTTTCCTTTTTCTTTTTATGGACCAGCCATTTTATCAATTTGATGAGTCCTTTCATCTAACTATTATGAACTTATTGAAAATAATTTACTCAGATTTTACTTAGTTAATATTTGCTTTCATTTGTTCATTTGTTCTACTTTGATTTGTTGTTATTTTTCTGACTTTAGCCATTCTAATGTTAGCAGTGAAGGCTATAAAATTTCCTAAAAACAATTATTTAGCTGAGGAGATTTTATGTTACTCTTCAGTTGTATCTATTTTCTAATTTCTGTTACGATATCCTCTTATGTCCTTTAATGATGTGAAAGTGCTTTTAAGTTTATAATTGTGTGTTCTTACCTCACGTGTCACTTACTGATTTTTAACTTAATTGAACAATGGTGACAGTATCCTATATATTATTCTCATGGTCAGTTTTTGAAAGTTTGAGGTTTTGTGTTCTATATCTGGCTATTAACTGTGAGTTTGTTTCTAGCATTTATTCATTTACCTACTGTTTTAACCGTCAGTTACAAGAAGAAGGGTTAAAAATCTCCTGTGATGCTTATTTTACCTTTTAATTCAGACAATTCTGGAAATTTTGAATTTATAGGTAAATAAGCTTTTGCAATTCTTCAACTCCTTGTTTATGTGAATTTGTTATCTTGTGAATGTGTTTATCTAATGCCCTCCTCTCTGGGACTAAAAATAACTACGTCAGTTTTTTTTTGTGATATGTCCTTCACCATTCTCAAATTTCCTGCATCTTCATTTTTTAAATAGTACTTCCTTTAAACAATATGAAATGAAAATCTGAAGTTGAGGTGAATCTTTTAGAATGGCAAATCTGTCACTTATCTAAAAAACATGTTTTGTTGCCACTTTTTATTATTGACGCATTTGAGTTAATTATTATCACATTACTTATTCATTTTTAAATTTCATCTTTTTCCCCTTTGCATCTTTTGAATATAATTTAGTTTCAAATTCCACTTTTTTTTCTATTGCTTATCTATTGCATTTTTCTGAAACACAGTGATACTTGAAAAACATTCAATGGTTATGCTGGACATTTAAACATAAAGATTTCAGTTTTTTCTCTGGCTGCCTAGAGCATCTTTTCTTTATCCTTCATGTTCTAGTTTCATGGTAACTTATCTTGGCAAGGATTAAAACAGAAAAATTCAGTGAACATTTGAAACTGGGGATTTTTGTCTGAACAATCCTGAAAATGCTTAGCCACTTTCTTTTTTAAAGCACTATTTTCTTTTTCTTCTATTTTTTATTTTTCTTCTACTTAATTTTTTTCTTTTATTATTATTTCTTTGTGGGCCTATATTCGACTTTCTCACTTCTTCCTGCCAAAATTTTCTAACTCAGTTGCAAAACAATCCTTAAGTCATATGTTGGAACTATAGGAGGCAGTGGAGACAGAGAGGAGGTATCCTGTCGGAGGACCAGGTACACAGGCTCAGTCCTGGCATTTTAATGTGAGGATCCTGGAGTTGACATGACACCTACCACACAAAGTTCACTGACTTACATCAAGTATGGATTTCCCCACCACACGTACAAGTTCCTAGGTATCTGTAAGTCTGCTTACTTATTGGCTGCTCTCTTCTTGAGGAAGGGAACGTTTTGTTCAACCCTTACACTTACTGTAATCTACCGTGCTGTCTATGAGAACACACAGAGTGCCTGAAAAGTAGCTGAGCAGGATCAGTTTGATGTAGGCAGAAGCTGCTCCAGTAAACAGGAAGCTCAACACATAGATGAAGGGGATGGCAGACCAGCCAAACAATATGAAGATCAGCATTGTTTCCAGAATGTGGTATTCCGTGATGTAAATATTAAGTCTGTAGTATCTGAATGCAATCTGAAACACAGAGCGCAGAGAGAGGGGCAAGATAAAAGGTGAAGGGCAAGTACAAACAGAAAAACACATCAGAATCCTTAGAAAAAGAGATAGTAAATTCCATTTTACTTAGTACAAAGGTACTCATTAAATGACATAACCTGCCACTTAAACACACCTTTGAGATGTGCCAAGTCAGTTCCACATCTCCAGAGGACATGCTGATGAGTAAAACCCACCACACTTGATTATCTTGTTTTCTGCATGGAACAGTTTTTTTTTTTTTAAAGGTTGGATTAGATGAAGACCCATGGCAATAGGCTTATTTTAATTTAATTGCCTCTTTGATGGTCCTATCTTTAAATATAGTTATGCTGTGGCTTACAAGGATTAGGACTTCAACATATCATTGTTGTGGGGATAGAGTTCAATCTACAACAAGTATCAATAAGGGCTGTGAAGATTTCAATATACATGCTTCCTGGTTAAACTATATACATATTTCCATGGGTACTTGATGGGAACTGTAAAAACTGGGTCACAGGTTATGCATACATCAATCTCAGAAGATAATGCTAATCTGTTTCCAGAAGCTACTATTGTTCCATATCACTGTCATTATTTTGAAATGGCATTTTTATTAAAATTGTTGACTAACATATAATGATATATCACTGTGGCTTACATTTTCACAGTCTTTTTTTTTTTAATATTTCTTTGGAAACACAGATTTACAGAGATAAGTAGAGATAGAAAGATTTTCCATCCGCTGGTTCACTCCCCAAGTGGCCACAAGAGCCAGAGCTGAGTTGATTCAAAGTGGGTCTCCCACGTGGGTGCAGGGTCCCAAAGTTTCGGGCCATCCTCTATTGCTTTCCCAAACCACAAGCTCAGTGCACTGCACTGGTCCCACTGGGTAAATAATAATATAGGTCCAGGTGGTTCTCAGACCTAACAGCAGGCAGGTTTTGACAAGTTTTGCACCACCAACAACCCAGTTATTTATTTATTTATTTATTTTATTTTTTTTATTGTTGCTTACATTGTATTATGTAGTACAGTTTTATAGGCGCTGGGGATTCCCCCCACCCCTCCCATACCCCTCCCCCCATGGTGCATTCCTCCACCTTGTTGCATAACCATAGTTCAAGTTCAGTTGAGATTCATTGCTTGCAAACGGACGTAGGAGAAAGGTAATACAGGCACGGTGCAGCCACAGCACGGGATCACAGGAGGAGCTGGAGCTACAGAGACTGTGGTGGAACCTAACACAAGAATCCGGACCTGAAACTTGCTGGAGGGAAGGGCACAAAAGACTACAAACAAAGAACCATGCACCAACCAAAATAAATAAAGTTGAATTGTAGACCTGTGGGTGACACAGTATAGGAACCTAAGGAGAAGAATATGCTAACCAGAAGTACAATGACCAAGAGCAAAACGAAAGAGGTACAATTAATATTATTGATGCCTGCCCCGCAAAGGAGAAAAACCCTTTCTTAACCTCAGAGTTAACTGAGGAAGACATTGAGGAAATAGGGAATAAAAAAAAAACTTTAAAACTTTGCTATAAAGTTTCTTAGCAACAAGAAGTACATACAGGAATTTAAGGAATTTGTTACCTAGGAAATAGCAACACTGAAACAAAAGCAAGCTGAATTATTAGAAATGAAGGACACAAAGGAGCAAATTAAAATTCAGTGGAAAGCTTCAACAACAGAATGATTGAGGCACAAGAAAGAAACTCAGAATTGGAAATGTCTATATAGTTTCTTTGTTAATATTGTTGTATAGCGTTCTGGGAGCAGGGTGGCATGCACTCAAATGTTTTATTTTTGCTGTAATTTTTCACTTGTTGGTATTATACGGATATGACTTTTATGTGAATAAGGACAATCAACCTCATTTACCTCTCCAGTGTATGATGTGTACTTACTCTCATAGAGTTAAGGAATGCAAATCATGGAAAATAGCTTAACCTTACAATAGTGATTGTGCACACAGTGCTCCAACAGGAGCTTGAGATGGGACTTAGATTTAAGCCAAACTAATGCTGAGTCCCAAGATAGAGTCCAATTTATAGAAAGAATTATATGTGTGGATATATAAATCTAGGTAATACATTGAAGAGATTCAGAGTGAAACCACAGAAGATTCCAGTGGTGTAAGGAGAGACAGAAGGATCACCAGACAACAAAACTGGTTACATGAGACAAGGGTAACAGTTTTTCTACCTGTAGAGAAGTTGTGAGAGCTAGCATAAGTTGATAATAAATGGGACATGGGTCCATGAACAATCTGTGCTGTTACGGGCAGAGCTAGATTTGTAAAAAGAACACTTGGAATTTTTTTTCATGTTACAGAGAGAAAATAAAGTTGAGAAACTTTACCTAACACTCACCAGCAGTAATAAGATAGAAATGAGGAAGATGATGAAATCATACAATAAGGCAGAAATCCAGTACACTAAGACAGAGGTCCCACTCAAAAATTGGATCTGCTTTGCCTTGGAGATTCTCTCAGTCACTGTTAGGAGACAAAATCCACTGATCATAATAGCTATGCCAAGTTGCATATTTGAGGCCACCACATTTCCATTTTCTAATCTACAGAATAAGGAACAAAAGAAGATACATAAAAAATCAAAAAGATAGGAAACACACACTATTATAAACAGTTAATACTGGCATGTATCACATAGGCTGGAAAAATTATTTAAAATGTGAAACTTAGTTCTAATGAAAAGGATAGCATACCGTCGCTTTTCCTTATTTATAATGCTACGACGTGGCTGAGGCTTATTGGAGATTGTTAACGAAGCATTCTTGCCAGAAAGTGACATGAATAGAACGTTGTCTAACACTGCTAAGGCCAGAGAGGGTGAATGGTATGCTTCATTATTGAACAGAGCAGTGAATATTGTCTGACTTCCTTTAATGTCAATGGAAAATGCAATAATGCATGCACGTTTATCTTTACTTTCCATCAAGTAATTCAGTAGGCTATCTAGGATAAGAAAACAATATTGGTCAATGTATCCATAATTCATGTCACATACAACGCACGCAGGTAAAAACAAAGAGTTTAATCTATTATACCTTTCAATTTCCCATAATGATTGCTCAAAACAATTGTTATTCCACTCAAGTACATTATTCCATCATTAAATCTGAAACTCTCAGTTTAAAATCTATAATATAAACTATAACTTCAATGAGAAAACACAATATGAATCTCTCAATTTGCTTAGCTGTGTTATACTTAGGTATAATTAGTTCCACTTACGGCACTGATTGTTTATATAGTACAACTGATAATACTTTATACAAAACAAGAAAAGATATATATAAATATATAAATGTATGTATATATATACATAAAGATTTTATTTTATTGGAAATTCAGATTTACAGAGAGAAAGAGAGACAAAGAGAAAGATCTTTCATCCACTGATTTACTCCCCAAGTAGCTGCAATGGCTGGAGCTGAACCAATCCAAAGCCAGGAACCAGGAGCTTCTTCAGAGTCTCCCACATGAATACAGAGTTCCAAGGCTTTGAGACATCCTCTCCTGCTTTCCAAGGCCACAAGCAGAGAGCTGGAAATGGAGCAGCCAGGATATGGATTGATGCTAATATGGGATCCTGGCACATGCAAAGTGTGGACTAACTACTAGGCTACCACGCCAGGTCTGATCACATATACTTTTTTTTTTTTAAAGATTTATTTATTTTTATCGGAAAGGCGGATATACAGAGAGGAGGAGAGACAGAGAGAGGAAGATCTTCCGTCCGATGATTCACTCCCCAAGTGAGTGCAACGGCTGGTGCTGTGCCAATTCGAAGCCAGGAGCCAGGAACTCTTCCAGGTCTCCCACACGGGTGCAGGGTCCCCAAGGCTTTGGGCCATCCTGGACTGCTTTCCCAGGCCACAAGCAGGGAGCTGGATGGGAAGTGGGGTCACCGAGATTAGAACCGGCCATCCATATGGGATCGTGGCACATGCCAGGTGAGGACTTTAACCATTACGCTATCGTGCCGGGCCTGATCACATATACTTTCTTTTAATATTAATTACTTTGCATTATATGATATCGTTTCATAGACTCTGGGATTCCCCCCACTTCTTACACCCTCCCCACCCCATGGTGGATTTCTCCACCTTGTTGCAGTATTATAGTTCAAATTCAGTCAAGATACTTTCATCGCAAGCATATACCAGGCATAGAGTCCAGCATCTTATTGTCCAGCTAAATTCAATGGTTTCTTGGGGAGACCATCTCTGGTCTGAAGGCAGGGCTGGAAGAATATCATCCCCATCAATTAAAAGCTACAACATAACATCAACAACGATTTACAACATCATCGAATTATTTGACATGGTATTGAGTAACCGATATGTTACAGTATACAAGTTCTTAACCATATACTATGACTACTTCACTGACATTTCAATTTTAGTTTATATACAATTGGCTTATATACACCTTAAAATGGCTATAGGGTACTATTCAGCTGTCTCGTACCTATTTTCATTTTAGTATTTAGCAGTTTATAGTGTTGAAGCATAATTTTGCTGAACTTGGCAGATATTTGGATAGTGTAAGCTGGCTTATAACTCTAAGAAGGCTTATGTCAACAGTTGAAGTGCAGAACAACTTTTAGGAGGGATGTGCGGAGAAATCCTCAATACCTCAGTGAGGAGTAACTAATCTGTGTCCTACCTAGAAGGGTATGTGGATCACATATACTTTTAAAGAACCTCTTTGAGGGTATTGGAGATCTAGAAAAACAATCTACATCGTGTGACCAAAACTCTGGGAAGAGTAAAACGCATTAAAGGAAATTCAACATTTTACAACTCCTTTTCCTTTATTTATTTAATGATACGTTTGTCTTCATAAAATTTTGAGTTCTCCAAAATGGCTCTCTAAGCAGTGGCATGTTCTAACAGTAATGAAGATATAAAAGAGGCATTCAAAAAGTTTATGAAAAAAATGAGTGCTGCAAAAAATGTGCATGGATTAAAAATTATTTACATCAAAATATATTGATCTTTTGATTACATATCTCCACAAACTTGTTGAAGTACCCACATAGACTATAATAATTTCAACTAAGCCTCAAATCACTTCAATTTCTAATTGGCTTTACTGCTTACCTCTACCTTACTACCTGCCAAAAATTAAACCAATTCACTGGAGAAGATAAACTCAGGCTTGCCAATTCTGCAACCTGTTTGCTAACCTAAGGTCCACTGTTCAACAGGGGGCACTTACAAGAGGAAGGAAGTAATTTATTTAGTATTTAGGAGGAAGTAATTATTCTTAAAAGGGAATAGACTTTTTTTTCAGAAAGTTGATATGGTACAGTGAATTGTAAGTTTGTGAATTCAAGGAAGATCTGGTTAAATTCAGTCTCTGTATTTCCTATGTGTCTTATATGGGACAAATTATCTGACTTACTCAGATGCTAATGCTTGATTGAACTGAGGGTAATAAAAATTTGTAAAATCAATATTGATGACTAGCAGTAGAAAAAGACAACAACAAAAAAACAGAGTTAGTACACAAATAGTATAGTTAAGATTCTTCTTTGAAAGTAAGAAAAAAGATTACTTAAGAACATTGTTTTATTTTTATTTTCTTTTACTGGATCTTACCTTCTACTTCTTTAAGTTTCTGGTTTTCAGATGTTAGCTTACTCTCAAGAAGTTTTAAGAAATCTGTAGTGAAATTTGAATTTCCAGAAATGGAAAAAGGCACAGTGGTCTGACCATATTCGCCCAAATTCATTTCTCTGGCATTCTCATCAGCATTTGAAGGTTTACCAATCTCAAACATAAAGGCAAAGGAAGCTACAAGTCCCAGTGTCTGTAACAACATGAGTTTCCAGTTGCGCCGACTGAACATCATTCTCTTTAAGAACATGGCACGAAACTGCTGGCAATAGAGCAGACACTAACAACAGAAGAAAGAAGAAACAGAACGTCATGATAGTACACGCCTAAACCAATGCTCCATGATGAAATAAATTAACATGACTGCATTGAAATGTTATGATATGAAGATATATAGCATAATCATACAAACTTCACCTACATTAAGTACATGGACTGGAACCTGCAGCAAAGTATTAAAGGACATCCTAGCATGATCTGCTTTTGTGGCATACGCCAGGTAAGAACAAGTTATGGCCTGTTTTTGTACATAAAGTTGTACTGAGACATAGCCATGGCCACTGATTGCTGGCTTTTGATATAGCATTTAAATCTCAACAGCAGGGTTTTGCTTAGATCCTGATAACCACATTAACAATGGTACTTTACTGGAGGAATAAACAGTGCAGAATGCAAGAGATGTGCTAACTCAGAGACTTTCCAAGTGGGAATCACAGTGCTTAGGGAATGGTCTGACAGGCAGTAACAGCTTCCACTGCAGAAACTTAAAAACATATTGTTGAAGATTTTAAGAATCAGGCTCACTAATAACCTTATTTTATCTTCAATGGAGCAACAAATGTCTGGGTTATCAATTTGAAAAGAATATAAAAAAGAACAGAGGAATGACTGCTGTCTTTTTCTTCCAAGGTTTGTCTTTTCTCCATACCTTAGCACATTACCCAGAACCTCTCTTCTGTAACAGTGTATCAGTTAGGTGTGATGCAAGAGACTGCATTTCTTGTTGGGGCCCTCAGTGACTGAACCTCAAATGCCTTGCACTTAACCATTAAAACGAAATGCAGGGCCTGGCGTGGTGGTCTAGGGGTTAGGGTCCTCGCCCTGAAAGCGCCATGATCTCATATGGTCGCCGGTTCTAATCCCGGCAGTTTCACTTCACATCCAGCTCCCTGCTTGTGGCCTGGGAAAGCAGTCGAGGACGGCCCAAAGCCTTGGGGACCCTGCACCCATGTGGGAGACCTGGAGGAGGTTCCTGGCTCCTGGCTTCGAATTGGCACAGCACCAGCCGTTGGGGTCACTTGGGGAGTGAATCATTGGACAGAAGATCTTCCTCTCTCTGTGTATCTGACTTTACAATGAAAGTAAAATAAATCTTAAGAAAACAAAACAAAACAAAAACAAAAAACGAAATGCACTTTACCCAAACCAGAAGTATATCAGATTTCTCAGTCAAGGCGCTTACCCCAGTATTAAACCTAACAGTTTCCCGTGACAAGGAAGAATGCACTTCTCTGACTTCTGATGCATTCCTATTCCAGTTTGTGGTGGGTTGAACCTCTCGGGAGGAAGGTTGCACAGCTTGGCTATCTGCCGATACATTTTCCATATGACTGACCCTGCATCCAAACAAAAAGCAAAAGCAGCGAAACCATAAGCTTTGCACTTCAAACTCCTCCCCATATGTTGGTTAGAGACTGTGAATAGCAGTTTCCAACACAGAAGCTTCCCTGGTTTGCTCACTGGTTGGCAGGGACATTGCTTGGAGGCAGCAGGGTCACTAAAGTAGAGCAGTGGCTCCCAAATTCACTTCCGCCTCCCCAAAGCCTACATATTTCTAGTTGGTCCTTCCCACTCCAACCCCTCCACCCAAGGTTTACTTTTCTCTATACATTATCACTTACCTGAGGAAGACTTCTTCCATGGTAGTGATAGAGACACCAAAGCTAGCAATACCCAGTTCTGGCTGTTTGCTTTCCAGATTAGTAAACAGAGCTTCAAACCTGGAGGCAGACAGGCAGAGTAAGAGCTGGCAACAGACTAGACGGCTTTCATATGTGTATCTTTTTATTCTAAACGGATTAGCTCTCATCAGTGAGGAATATGTAGCTAATTCTTCACTTCATTGGTTATTAATTCATGCTTCTGGTAAATCAGAAATGTGGAAAAACAAATAGAAAGAAACTAATAAACTGATACAGCAAAAATTTCCCACTGTTCCTGGTTCTTGGATAATTATGGTGATTTTTTCCCCACGTTTATCAATTTATTTATTTTTTATTTTGAAAGGCATAACAAGAGTGACTGAGTAAGTGAGTGAGTGAATAAGATCTCTTTCATTTGCTTTAACCCTCCAAGTACCCACAACAGTCTAGGCTAGGCCAGACCTTAGCCAGGAGTTCAAGATTCTACCTAGATGTCCCATGTGGTAATAGGGACACAAGCACTTGAGTTGTCTTCAGGGTGCACCTTAACCTGACGTTGGATTTGAAGCAGAGGAACAAGTGACTTCACTACTGCTATTGCCAGAAGCCCACTGCTGTTTGTTCGTTCGTCTGTTTGTTTGTTTTGTTTTTTTAAGGATGATTACCGCAGGCTGAGTTCTCTCTCTTATTCTCTTTGATGGTAATTGGAGACTTTCTACTGCTTATTGCCTCTGAGTTCTTGTTGCCTTAACTCTAAAAAGTACCATTTAAATAGTTTCATTTTTAAATCACATTTTTAAAAAAGATGTATTGACTTGAAAGGCAGGGTTCAGAGGGAGGGAAGGAGGGAGGAGTAAGAGACAGGGAGACAGGAGTGAGGGAGGGAGAGACAGACTATCTTCACTATCTGGTTCATTTTCCAAATGACCACCAGAGTTGGGAGTCGGGCCAGGCTGAAGCCAGAAGAATGCACTCCATCTTGGTCTTCCACATGGGTGGCAGGGGCTCAAGCACTCAGGCCACCTTTTCCTGCTCCTCCCCACCCTTCCAGAACATCTGTAGGGAGGTGGATTGGAAGTAGAGTACCTGGAACTTGAATCAGTGACCATACAGGAAGCCAGTGTCACAGGTAGTGTCTTGAGCTGTTGTTCCACAATGGCTCTGACCTGTACTTTCTTATTACTCCTCTTTACTCACCAGCAGTGATTTTTAGTCTACCAAGAATAAACTATACTCATGGTTACAGTCATTAGGTAATATCTCTCTCCTCAGTGCAAATGATAGCTTGAAAGAAGTTATATTTTAATAAAAAGTTAAATAAGAAACCAGGAAAAACCACAATGATTTCTGGATATTTAAAGCCAACCATTTAGTACTTTTTAGATTCATACCTGTGTATATAGTCTTGGGGTAGAATAAATGACAATTCAGTTCCAACATTGCTCTTCATTGTAGCTACTGGCACATAATTATGAATCAATTTTGCAACTTCTTCAACATCACAATGAGGTGTTTTCACCATGACTATGTGGTATCCCACACCTGAGAAAATTCATTCAGAGGGAGAAATAAAACAATTTCGGACTTTCCATATGCTTGTGAGACTATACTTAGCTTCCTATTGCTTGAATGAGCTAAAAATACAGCATGTCACAAGTCATTTGATTACAACTCTAAGAAACCTCGCAAATTCTTCTTTTTAGAATTTGCATCAATTCTTAGAAACTGATAACGATCTGGATCATATAACCAGTTATGGAAGGTAGTCGCTGTTATCTGACTTCTAATTTTATTTTGAGGAAATAATTATTTGCTTGAAAAGGCAGAGTTATAAAGAGAGAGAGAATTGAGAGAGAAAGAGAGGATGGAGGTTGGGACTGAGGGATACAGCGAAAACAATGTCAAGAGCCATGTTTATAGAAGCTTGTTCTTACATTAAAAACACAGAAAGATTCTAAACAAATGACCTAACTGTGCATCTTAAGGACTTAGGGGACGATACAAAAAGCAACCAAAACCAAAATAAGCAGGAGGCAAAAAAATAACAAGAATTAGGGCATACATAAATAAAAATTCAAACAAAAAAACAATACAAAAGATGAACAAAATGAAAAGCTTTTTATAGTAACTTACAAAGGGAAAAAGGAGAAAAACTTTGAAATTAGATATGAAAAATAATAACTAATACAACAGAATACTAAAATTATAAGAAACTACCATGAATAACTGTATGGTAGAACATTGGGAAACTATGAAAATGGACAAAGTCCCAGATACATACAACCAATAAAGATTAAATCAAGAAGATTTTGAAAATCTAAAAAAAAAAAAAAACCCCTCAAAACAAGTAACAAGATTGAAGCAGTGCTTAAAAGTTTTCCACCAAAAAAACATCTAAGGCCTGATGACTTTACTACTGAATTCTACAAAGTATTTAAAGAGAAACTAATTCCAATACAATTTACATAATTCCCAAATACTGAAAGATACAGAGCTCTACCAAACTCTTACGAGGTCACACTGCCTCTGAAATCAAAATCGAACAAATACACATACTAGAAAGGTATAATTGCATTGTACTGGCATGAGAAGCAACACACATAACAAACGCTAGCAATGGCATAGAGAAAGGGGAACTCTGACGCGTTATTGATGAATGCAAATTAATGCAGCCACTGTGAACAATAGTTTGGAAATACAACACACATAAAAAATTAAAGATACGAATTACTGATTTTTCAGCAGAAACTGTGCTAGTCAAAACATGATGCAGTATCAGTATTACAGTTCATGGGCAAAAATCAGCAACGTCTTGTTCTACAAACAGCAAAATATGTCAAAACTTAAGACAAGCAAAAATGAGGCAATTTATTATCCACAAATGTTCATCTGTTTAAAGGATGCACTTTAGCCAGAAATAATAGTACATTTTCACTAAACAATTAAAATATAATCTGTTTTGTGTGATGTTGCTAATAAAAGGGTTTTAAGAATAGAGATAAACCTTTACATCAATAAATAACATCAAGTTCATAAAGCAAAAAGTTCAATACTATTAAGAAGCTCATTCTTCCCCAAAATAACATACAGATTAAAAGTAATATGAACCAACATTCCACAAGATTTGTATGTACCATTTGATAAAATGACTAAGATTAAATGGAAACAAAAAGGCCTTAAAATAATTCAAGTGATTTTTTTAAAGAGAAAAAAAATTGGTGGATTTAAGTTACCTCCTTTTAAGAGTTTAGTAACTCAAGATAAACTATTAATGACTGGTAATCCTAAATGGTTAGTTTTAGATTAAACAACAGAAAATTTGGACATATATGTATTTGCAGATCATCCAATGATTTTCATCAAAGGTGTTAAAGCGTCTCCATCATAAGTCCTTAGCATTGTAAACTTAGGATTGTAAAATGTCAAGAAAAAAAAAAAAAAGATATCTTTGCAGTCTTCAGGTCAGCAAAGACTTCCTAGGAAGAACACAAAGAGTTTCAAAAGGTCAAAGAAGACTGATGCATGATGAATCCTGAATAATTGCCAAAGAGACTTTAGGAAGCTGTCAGGATGCATTTAAAAAATTCTTTAGATTGGAAAAACTCTTCAGAGCAGAATTAATTTAATAAGGATAATAAATGGATAATAATCCATTTACCCACTCACCTACCTATCTGCCAACCACCTATTTCAGTAAAGAGATAGATTAAATTTAATTTTAAGTAGAAATCATATGGTAGACACAAACATGAACAATGGAGAACACAGTAAATATAATAGTGGGAAATAATTTTGAAGTTTGAAGGGAAAATGAGTCTTACTTCAAAAGGGCTTATAGTTGAAAGTTTAGCATGGTAGAGGGATTAACTGAAGTACTGGGTAGATAGTCAATAGTGAAAATTACAAGGACATTATTAATACTTATTGTATTATCAAGGCATCAATATCCTAGGAATGATAAAAAAAGACATACCATATAATTTTTTCAGGAAAATTGAAGATCCACAGCACCGCAAGTGTCCCTGAACCATGATGGCGATGCGGTCACCCAAAACGTCAGCTTCATCCATGTAGTGGGTGGTCAGTAACATGGTACGGTTCTCTTTATAGTTCTGAAGGAGATCCCAGGTGGCCTGCCTCGAAGCTGGGTCCATGCCAGATGTTGGTTCATCAAGTATTACCACCTGACGACCGGGAGGACAATTCAATGACCATTGTAAATATTATGTCTAGGTGCCAAAAGTGTCTTCCCAGTCATGGGTTTCTTTTGGCTTTGCTTTTTTAGTTACTTGCTCAACTAAGGCAGTAAGTCAAGGCAATGAGATAATAAGAAAAGACAGTAAATGTGGAAAACACTGAAATTAGGAATGTTAGAATAATTCTAACCATTTGGTCATTTCATAGAAATGAGATTGATGATGTGAACTCTTCACTGATTCTCAATGAGGAGGTTGCGTCTAAGATGTTAGATCCATATCAACTCCCAAGTTTGTGTTGCCAAGTGTTTTAGGCAGTTGTAACATATAATGGGGATAAAATTTTAGTTTTGTTTTACCTTGGAGTTCCCTATAAGTGCTATAATGATGGAAAGTTTGCGCTGCATTCCTCCACTCAGTGACTTTGAAAACATATCACGCTTTTCCAGCAGGTTAAAAGCAGACAGCATGTGGTCAGTCTCCTCTAGACACTGCTCTTGAGATACTCCTTTTATCTAGAAAAGGGTTAGATTAGATGGGTGCTTCCAACTCCATTCTTAGAAATATTTCACATCAGCTCTTTCCTAAAATCATTTATATGGTGATTTATTCCCTTTGTCACTCTTATATCTGAAGGAAAATCCAACAAAAGTCAATCTCAACTTCTATAAGGATATTTCTAGTTGCTAAACTACGAGTACATAAATGGGAGTAGGGGGTGTAAAGAAAGATCCTCTTTGGCTCACCGCACAATAGAATTGAAGGTGTTCTGACACTGTCAAGTAATCAAACAATAAATTCTGTTGGGGACATAGCCCCAGTGATTTTCTGATCTGAGTCATCTGCGTTGAGATGTCATATCCATAAATGTAGGCCTGTCCACTAGTAGGAGGATAGAGACCTAGAATCAAGAATATACGGACAGCAACAGCTTTTCTGAGGGAATTTCACAACTAACTACTTACTAGTACTTCAATTCTTAAATATGCATGTGGATTATTCATTACATTGAGCAATATATCTCACATAGGAGAAAAATCCAAAAAATATGCTGATATTTTAGGGACAGAGAGATAAAAAAAATACTTTATTTTGTACTTTTCTATATCTTTATGCTCTAATTTTCAGCAAAAAAATCATTTGAATAATAAACACTGCCATCAGTCATTTGGCGACAATTATGAATTGTTATAATCTGTACACTGCCTTAGACTATGACAAATTCTTAAATTCTGAAAATTCAGGGCAATAAAACCATTATCCTTAGAAAATTTAAAATCCAGTTAGAGGAAACAGCACATAGTAACCTAAAATACACTTAGAATCATTCAAAAACATGTAATAGCACGTCATCCATAGCTGTTACAGTCGATTAAATTCAAATGGGGAAAATGTCATTTTAAATCTGGCAATTTCGTACTCCTATTACAAAAACATTACCAAGAAGCCAGATGTGTTCAGACATATCTATTATAAGAGACCATATGTCCCAAATTACTCCTGTTTTCCTACAGTCTCATTCATTTGACATTTGCTCCACTTTTCATTTCTAGCCAGTTACTGTAATTTTAATTGCTTTAACATGAGCTTATTTGACCCTTTCAATTCTAGTTTCTGTGAAAGACTTTTCATTTTTGGCTTTAGTAATCGAATCTGCTTTATTTCTCCTGGCTCATCTCACTAAACTTTGTCACTTCTAATAATTATTAAAAAGAACATATTTTAGTTCACTTTCTGTAGTATTTTAATATTCCCGGTTTCGTTAACTTGCATAATCTATATGCAGTTTTCTCAACTTGCTTTCAGTTTAATTTTTTTTCTAAAATGTAGTCACTTATAGTCAGTAAAATTGTGACTCATATGACAAAATTGTGGTATGTTGTATCTTGATTTGTATCAAATTATGTCCTAATTTTCTTTGTGATTTTTTTCTTTGATCATGGGTACTTAGAGATAATTTCCACAAATCTGTAAATTTCCAATTTCCTCATTCCACTATCATTTATTCCCACATAGCTCCTTTGTGCTGTTATTATCAAATATTCATACAATATCTTTTATATGTTACAGCCCAGCAAAATTATATATATATATTTTTTCAATTTTCATACAATTTCTTTTTAACTTACTTGATAGAAATAGATACTTACACTACTTATTTATAATTACCTAACTATCAGTTGAGTGTGTGTACTGAAATTGAGGATTTGCTCTGTATACATATTAAGGATTTTTAGGCCTTGTTGGTAGATTGACCTTTTTGTAATCATATAATAATCCCCAAAGGAACATTAAATTTAATCATTTGCCAACTTTAAAGTTTACACATACTAAGCTATGTGTTTCTGAAATGACCATATAGTACAGGATAGCTGAAAGCCTCACCATTTCTATATAAAACCACTCTTTGAATAGAGTTGAAGACCTACCTGACAGAATTGACAGAGTAGTGGATTTTCCTGCCCCATTGTGTCCTAGAAGAACAGTGATCTGCCCCTCATACAAATTCAGAGACAGTTCCTTTATAGCTACTTTCATAGTGCCCTTATGGTAGAATACCTATGGGGGGAGGGAAGCCACAAATGCTATTTTATATCTATCACAATTATTTTGTAACAAGAACTCATATCAGCTATCTACAGAAAAAACAATGCTGTATCATTCATCTCATGAGAAAAAATAAAATTGTGAATGGATGAGTTTGTAAAAAAAAAAAGGAAAAAAGGAAAAAGACAAAATTTGAAGACAAAACAGGCATCTTACAACTTCATGGAATTACAAATATCTCCTGAGTATTCTTACTCATTCCTGCTTTGTTTCAGCTGCCATCTTAAAACTGATAATATCACACTGTTCTTCAGCCAGTCTTTGTCCTAATTTGGAGGAATGGCCGATTCAAAACTTACACATGGATGTTCACCCCAAGTTCCTTAAGATGGAGACAACAAAGAACACCATTCCTATGCTAGTGACAAACAGAAACTGAATCGTTTACTTTTCTTGAACAAATGAGAGAAGTGAGGCAACCAACTAGGTTAAAATTTAAGCAAAAATACCTTTAATGAGAGGTGGTACATGAATATCTGCTTGCCTGGAGCAGCTATGCATGGATGTGTGGATGCTATTTATGCCTCTAAGAAGATATTGACAAAATTTCCAATAAATTGGAAGTAAAAGAAATATAAAAATGCAGTGGAAGGGTAAGTATTAAAACCCATGTCAGCTGGCATGACCTAGTAGGTAAGCTGCTTCCTGAAACACCAGCACCCCACCTACGCACCAGGTCAAGTCCTAGCTGCTCCTCTCCCAATCCAGCCCCCTGCTAATATTTGCCAGGGGAGGCAGCAAAAGTTGACTCAAGTGCCAATGGATGGGAGGTTTCTCTCTCTATCTCTCCATCGCCCCTTCTCTGCCTTTCAGAGAAATAAATACAAACAAAATCTAGTTCAGAATTAAGTCACGTTTTCCTTCCAATACAATTTATTAATCATGAATAAAAGCAAATATCTTGCTTAACAGAAAATAAGACATCATTTCATTTCTACCCCAAATGGTAGTTTTTTCCTTACCTTTATTCATCTTGCAGTAACTGCTTATGAAATCTCTGCTTAGATGAATGTCTAAAGTGCTTATACTCAAAATGGAGCTCTTAAGTTTATACTCCTATACTTAGAACCCAAGCCCCACCCCCCCTTTTCACAATATGGTCAAATAGAAGTGCCCAGCATTCACCTTCTCACACATGTAAGAGAACCAAATTGACAAATAAGTAGCTACACTTTTAGGTAAGTGCCTGAAAAAGAATACAGTAATTCAGTAAAGCAGTCAAGAGAATTGAGAAGGAAAAATGGGATGGAATGGCAGACTGAGAAACAAAGTTAACATGCAAACAAATCCCTAACCTGATGGTCAGAATTCCAGTTTCTTAGCAGATTCCAACTACCTGGACACCTTGTACTAGTAATCCCAGCTACAGGAAGAATTTATGTTATCACAGAGTAAGGAGCCCAGTAAAGGAGAGCTACCTGCAGAATTCATGGTAGCTTTTAATAAGAAAATAAAAACATATATTATCCTCGCAAAATCACAGATGTTGTAGTGTTTCACCATCAAGAGAAAGGATCCTTGAAACGTAATACAGCAACAAGGTGGAGGAATCCAGCATGGGGGGAAGGGATGGGGAGGGGTGGGAGGAATCCCAGAGCCTGTGAAACTGTGTCACATAATGCAATGTAATTTTTATACATATGCTTTTTTTTTTTAAAGAAAAAAAGAGAAAGAATCCACTGAGGGAATCCCTCCAGCTGTACAATACGGAATTCTCTGCGTAACCACTTTCCCTGGGGCACCACAGACATCCCACCTTATTAGCAAAATAGACTGTAGTTTCATTGATCCAACGTGATTCAGCAGAGCAACAGTGACCCCTAGCATCATCTCTTGTGCAGCACTCTATACTACATGGGACAGTAGAGGCAGAACAGAAGTGTGATCCTGCTCCCAGGACTCTACTAACAAAGCACCTGCCTTTTCAGACTTGTGGACTGTCTCCCCCACATTCCTTCTACCCTGGACACCACTGACTACTACCGGGATCTTACCCACTGGGACTCCTGGCCACAGATCTTATGACCATTGTCTGTTCTTTTTGCCAAATGTGTTCAGAAATGTACTTATGCTCAAAAATGTTGATGGATTTGATCACTTTATGCTGTATTCCTCTAACAAAATGTATTTCTATGTCCCATAAAGAAGAACAAGAATTATGTTAATAAAAATTTTAATGCAAAGGTAAAACCAAAACACCAGTAAGTAAACCACAATAAACCCTAAATTCTCCTCTAGGATCTCCAAAATCCATAAACTGCTCAAATAACCGTTCAGGTCCTCCAGCCACAAAACCAACAGCCACTGTACTTTCTTCTACTTTGCTCAGTCATACATTGGACCAGTGAACAAACATTTTCCATTCTTATGACAAAATACATTTGAATCTTTACAATTCTATCTCCATTGTCACCAGCCTGGGCTACAAGGCCATTCTGGCTGATCTACTGGGAAGTCTCTAATTTATCTCTTCCACTCATTCACGTCACACAAGTCTGAATGGTCTTTTCAAAATACGAAACAGACTATGACCCTCCCCTTCACAAAGGCCTATGAATATCTGACATTTAAAAACAGAGATCAAAACTTTCGTATAGCTCCTGAGTAGTTTGTATCATGGCTTTATTCCCAAGTTCATCTCATGTAAATCTCTGCTTCATTCACTTCTATTTCATCTTTGCTCCTCGATATATGAAGCACTTTCCAATCTCTGGTCTTTGAATTTTATTTCTGTTGGTTTGAATCTTATGTTCTCAATTTTTCAACTATCAATCATTCTTTTTTATTCTGGTTTCAGCACAAAAGTCACCGCTGCAGATTTGATTCCCAGGAAGCACTTCTCATAAAATTGGGATATATAAAGTCTATTAAGAAGCATTCTCGTGATTGGTGCCTGTGGAAGGAAGAGCTGATTTTGTGGAGGATAAAGTGCAGCCACCATGTAGTTACTTCACAGCTTCAGGGGAACCCCACCGAGGGGCACTCAAGCTCTAGTGGTCCCATAGAGTCATCTCAAGTCAAGGGAGAAGGCCTTACCATTCTCAGGGTGGCCACTTTCAGGGTTTTAGTAGCCTGAAGGAGGAGCATGAACTTGTTTGTGGGTGCTCTTTTCATCACAAGAAATTTCGAAGTGACAGCTGAGCTGGAGTTGAGTCTGCAACATTCTTCATGACTGAAGTTTAGAGGGTGGCATCTGGGCAGTGCATACATCCAAGTGGATTGTGGGGATTCCTAATTTACTCCTCTTTGTTATCACTGGTAATAACCTAACCTACTTCCTGAAGATCATAGTCAATTCTGCTTTTTTTTTTTTTTGCCAGAATGTTCATTCCTTTTCTTGTCTGTTGGTCTCTTGTCCAAAGTGCATTGTTAACAAGTTTACAATTCAAAGTGGCTCACGACAGGAAGCACAAAATTTCCCAAATGGATTGCTAGAAGCTTTGGCAAGAAGCACTACTGCTTGTAAACTTCGATTTCAAAATATGCATTCTACCTTTTGGGGACACAGCACTGTAATAATGGCCATGTGTGTTAGCATCTACACCCTGGAGGGTGGCACCTTATTTTTGAAAGTTACTATCTTCAGGAAGCTGCCTCAAAATATGTCTTTAGCCTAGCATTTCATGACTTCTCTAGGTTCACAGGCTCTGGATGTATGTGGTTAATGCACCCCATGGTTGTCATCTCACTGCTATGCCTTCTTTACTGTAAAGTGTATTTCCTGTCTGATGTGATATGTTGTGGAATCCCATACTAGTAGATAAACAAATGTCATCCATTCCTTTCTACTGATAATTAAAAAGAAAAAAAAACTGTGATATTGACAGAGGCCCTAAAAGAACAAAAGCCAAAAACATGACTGAAATATATGTTGATTCCTAACAAGATGAAATGAAGATCCTTTGGGAGGAAAGAGGTCCACTGGACTAATCTGCTCACCAAATACTGGCTGTTTTCCTTAAGAAATTGTGCTCATTGAGCTTTGTTGATGACAAAATGAGCTGCCACAGAGCCCATACAGGTATCTTGTACCTCTTCCAACTACTGAGATGACTGAAAAGCCATGGGATGTCCACTGAATGAGTCACCTGTAAACTTGGTTATTCTATGTCTCTTCTTTGGTTTCTGGTGGATAACATGCTTCACAGAGATCTTTACATTGTTTCTCATTCTTAACAGTTATCAATACATGCCCTTCCCTTAGAATTTTTTATTCCTAATCTTCCATTCATTCTCCTTTGAGGTCCTCAACCAACTGTCCATAACATTCATAACTGTCCATAAGTTCGGAAGTCTGGAGCCAAGGTACGTGGTATAAAAGACCACATGACTGTTCTAAAGTTATTTTGCTCAGTGGGATAGCCCTTCTCTTTAACTTTGAACATAATTCTCACTTGGGGGCTCTGGTGCAACTAATAATTTCTGGCTTTTACCTGTGTACCAAGCTGATAAACCAAACTCAAGCTTTTCTCTATTGTGTAAATTAATTAAAGTGGATCTCCAGCAAAACTATAATTGTGAGCTGAGGGAGAAGTGCTGATTTAAGAGTGGTGAATAACATAAGGATTTGGGCTTTCAGTATACAAACCTTGCTCATATAATTTGATTATACTCATGTTCAATCTCTTATGTACTTACTTTCATTTTGAATAATTGATCATTTTATTTGCCCTTACTGATTTATCAGGCTGATAAAAAATAACTAATGATAGTCAGGTCTGAAAACGTGTGTTCAGAAGTCACAATGCAATTGCTTCTTCCCTATCAAGGGCCAATAGCAGCAGGCCAAGAGAAAGATATGATTCCCTAATTCGACTGCAGATGGAATGTTCTTGATTTAAAATATTAGAAGTTTTTATTGTTATTTTCCCAGTGAGATTTAGCATAAAATCAAAATGTTGACATCTCTTTAAAAAATTTTATTTTTGATGACATTTACATAGTTGATCAGG